ATTTCAAGTGTTCTTGTCACAAAGAAAAAGACGGTAACTATGTGAGGAAATATGTTAATTAACATGACTGTTGCAATCATTTCACTATGTGTATGTATGTCAAATCATGTTCTATACCTTAAATATATACAATTTTTACTAAAAGAAATAAAATTTAGAAAAATAAAAAATAAATTGGGGTTCCCACAAGCCCCTTCTCAATTTCATAATTTGCTATAATGGCTCACAGAACTCAGGGAAATACTTACTTATGTTTATCAGTTTCTTTAAGTCAAGTCACATTAAAGTGTTCTGACAAATACAGCATTTTGCTATCTCACACCTCCCCACTGTGCAATCCCATTTACCGAAACTAGTCTCTTAACTCAGTTAGCTATTTCTTCTGGCATTTACTCTTCCTGTAATTTTAAATAATATGTATTTTTTGAGTCATCAGTTTTATATATCATTTATTGTCTTTCTGTTATTGTAAATAAAGGTCTATGTTTCTACAATACCATTCTTCTGCTTCCACCATCTTTCCAAAATGGTGATGACTATTATTAAATCAATATTCAGGATTTATATTATATATTCACAGCTGATCTATTTGCTCTATGTTTCCTTTCTGTTTTCCTAGAGTTAATGTTTTCTTTGATTTTTTTTATTTGCTTCGTTTCTTTGTATTTAATAACTATTCCCAAACTTTCCATTGACTTTTCCAACATACTTTTCCACATCAGGTAACTTATCACTTCCAATTTTCAGAGACCTTCTTTTCTTTCTCTCTAGATTGCTACTCTCTAAGCCTTTTGAACAGCTGTAACCTGGGACTCTCCTCTGCTATCATCCTTAGAATTTCCTTGGCCTTTCTACTGAGTTGGATTCCCTGATCCCTAGATCTCAGGCTTTCTCTCTCTGGATTTACTCTCTTGTCTTGTAGAGAACATCCTCCAGTAGTTTCGTCAAGTTAAACAATTTACCACAGTGGCAGAGGGTTTGATGATACAAGTATTCTATATACTTGTCTCTGCAGTACCTATCTCTCTGAAAGACCTCTTGACCACCTCAGGGGATTTCCCTAAGTTTTTTTCAGTATCCCATTTCTTCCTATTTCTTGGTTTACCATCATTTTAGGTGAAAACATCCTAGAAAGGGATGCCTCGGAGGAAATTTTTGAGACTTTGGGTGTTTAAAAATATCTTTTGTCACCCTCACACTTGATTGATAGTATAGAACTCCATTCTAGCCATGCTGCCCTCCCAGCCATCTGTTACTGAAACATGAAAGACACCCTTCTTCCTTTGGCTTTCTCATTTGCATTTGCTGCATGGCTAAACTCTCTTGCCTCCTTCAGGTCTTGCTCAAATATTATATTCTCAGTGATCACTCTACATAAGTTGCCAACCCAACATTCTCACCCCATTTCCCACTTTACTTTATTTCTACAGCACTTATCACAACTTGGTATACTATATATTTCCCATTGTTTATTTGTTTACTTTCTGTCTTCCTCCACTAGACAGTAAATTCCTTGGGGTCAGAACTTTCATCTGTTTTGTTCACTGATATATTCCAGCACCTGAAACAGTGCTTGGCACATAGTAGGCTATCAATATTTATTTGTTGAATGAATGTATAATAAACACTTATTTCGTATCTCTATACTATGCCAAAAAGGAAAGTAATAATTTTCTTGTTATGATAAATAAGAATGGATTTGATTGATATAGAATTAAGCAATTTGTTGGTCATGCCACTTGAATATTTAAAAGAGATTGTGGAATCTCTTTTTAGATTTTTAAACATAAAATAGAACCACTTGATTTTTATGACAAGTGTGTGTATCTTTTTCTAGAAGCATTTAAAATATTCTTTCATCTGTACTTGTCCCTCACACCTTGCTTATCTTCTGCTTTGCCTTCCTTTAGCTACTAGTAGGGCTTCTGGCTGCCCCAACTGTGCCCATCTTCACCCATTACCAGCATCTTCACCGTGGGTTTCAGCTAAACCTGAATTCATATACTTTGGTTCAGACCATTTTATCTGTGGCCTTTGCTTTTGGATAGGTCTCCTGCCCAGAAAGTGGCCAAACTAGCCATTTCTTCTACACCCAGCAGCTGGAATTCTAACCAGCACCCCACCATGCACACTAACATAGAAGCACACCCCACACCCTCACAGGAACCCCCCACACACTGTAACATAACAGCTAAAAGTCAAGTTATTTTGAATCTGCTCATTTTGTATACCACATGATAAAATAAATGGCCTTGGCTTTTAGTGCTTGACTTCTCTGTTGCAGTGTAAAAAACTTAACATTGAAATGGCCTGTGTCGATGACATGTCTAATTTTTACGTAAACATCAAATGAAAACATAATTGTTTAAAATACATTTATAAGTAGTGATGAGGTTTGACAATATTTTTATTTCAAAAGAATTAGCCGTAGCCTTAATAGTTTCAATCTCAAACCGAGAGAGAATAGAGTCTTTTAAAACCACACTTAAATAGGACTGCTAGATTCAACAAAGAAAAATACCAGGTGCCCAGCTAAATTTGAATTTCAGATAAACAACTAACAATTTTTTAGTGTATTTTCCATTGAGAATCCTGCACTTTATCTAGCAACCCTACATTTATTTTTTTAAAAGATTTCATTTATTTATTTGCCAGAGGGAGAGCAAGAGAACAAGCAGGGGGAGTGGCAGGCAGAGGGAGAAGCAGGCTTCCCTCGGAGCAGGGAGCCCAGTGCAGGGCTCAATCCCAGAACCCTGGGATCATGACCTGAGCCAAAGGCAGATGCTTAACCGACTGAGCTACCCAGACATCCCTAGCAACCCTACATTTAAATAGCCAACTGTTCTATCAGTGAAAGAGCTTTGTTAGGTTTATTTTGAATGTAAAAGATTAATTTTAAAATGCCACAAAGGGAAGGAGTTAGAAATTCACTTTTTTTGGTTGGTGACATTAAGGCAGCAGACTATTTTAATCTGGCTAAAGTCTATCTAGTAACAAAAGTGTGAGTAATAAGATGCTGGCCCAGGAGCAGAATGAAGATATCTGTCATTGTGCTTCTTCCCAGACCCTTATCATCTGGAGGAGCAGAAAGACCACATCATAGGAACATAGGTTCATAGGCATTACCCCATGACACAAAGAAGTCAAATCAAATCACTGATAGTACTTGCAACCTTTTCATTTATTCATCCCAGATCCTTCTATGGATGTCTTAGTCAGCTCAGGCTGCTGTAACAAAATACCATTGAGTGGGGGGCTTAAACAACAGGAATTTATTTTTCACAGTTCTGGAGTCTGGGAAGCCCAAGATCAAGCTGCCAGCTGATCTGGTCCCTGGTGAGGCACTTCTTTATGGTTTGCAGAAGGATGCCTTCTTGCTGTATCCTCACATAGCAGAAGGAGAGATCATCTCTGTGTCTCCTCTTATAGGAGCACTAATCCCATTCATGCTGGATCACCTTCATGGCCTAATTACCTCCCAAAGACCCACCTCCAAATACTGTCACATTGGAGATTAGGGCTTCAAAGTATGCATTTGGGGAAGATAGAAAACACTCAGCCCATGGCAATGAAGACTTGAATAAAACTATGGGTGTATATCCAGAGAGATCGTGGATGTTAGAAAACATCATTTCTGATAGTTGAATAACTATGGATGAACATGCCCAGACATTCTCCTCAGGTGAGAGAAAGGAGGGTACTTCTCTGAAAGCTGGGTACGTTCACCAACAAGCAGGTTTTACTTTAAGAAACTAATAAAAGTAATATGATTCCACCTTTCAGAGCTGTTTATCACTTGGAGTTTCAGTTTGGGTGATTGCACTCTAGTAAATTAGCTGACTGAGAGTCCAAAGATTATATCTGCATCCAGACAGTCCATTCATCATGCTTAGCATTCGGATTTCAACCCAGCTTTCCCACATATTTGCCAAAATTCCACTGAAGTAATCACAGAAAGCTCCTTGTTTTGATCTACCTAATGCCTTAAATATTGTCAGTGGCTCTGGATTTAGGTTTATTGGAATATTTTAATAACCCGCCAATCTCTTTATCTGAAAGTCTCATATAAGTACTTTCTTAGTTCATAAATACTTACTGATTTTAATTTTGTACCAAAAAGAGAATAGACTTTAGAAGTTTTTTTTTGTTGTTTTTTGTTTTTTTAAAGATTTTATTTATTTATTTGAGAGACAGAGAATGAGAGAGGGGGGGAGGGTCAGAAGGAGAAACAGACTCCCTGCCCAGCAGGGATAGACTTTAGAAGTTTGATGTGTTCTTACCCAAGGAAGAAATGCAAAGTGGCAGTAGAAATTATCAAGTTATTCTCACGTAAAAGTAAAAAAACACTTAAATACTATCAAATATTTAACAAGTTGTATGGCCAATATAAAGTTCAAATTATATGTGTCACCCACACCTTTACTTTCTCAAAATCATTTTGCAAATTGGCAAGTTATTCAGTCAGATTATCCAATTTTGGAAAAGCATAATTTAAATTTTAAGTGGTAAAACTACCAAAATGTGATAACTCGGATCCAAAAAATCCAAATGCATAAAATGCAGGCTTGCATGATTGGAAGGTGAATAAAATTTCTGGGCCCAATCTGCATAGCTAATTGGCTGGGAGTTCCAGATGGCAATGTGGGATACAAATCTATTCTAATGCCATCTGTGTTTTGGCACCACCTGGTGACCTAGTCAGTTTTTACCATCTGGTCCCTAGGTGTGTTGTTTCTGGCTAAGCAGAAATTTTAGGTTACTGGTGGTCTTTTAGTCTCATCTATCTGGAAATACTTGGGCCTGAATAAAGTGAGTACAGGTTTGGACACAGGACTGCCTATCCTTTCTATACCAATTTCTTCTTCTTTAAAAATATGACATTAAAACAATCAATGCAAATGCATTGTTTTAAGTCTAACTTTGGATTTCCTTTTTTGCTTTCTCTTCTTTGGGGAAAATACCTGGACAAAATTAACTGGCCTCAGAAGCTTTTTCCACAGACAGTTCTTGGTCTTCACCTGCTAAGGCCTCTGCTTCGCTATCAGGCACTCTACCTTTCTTTACTGCATCCAGCATCTTCTCTCTGACTGATCAAAGTGCCACAGACATAATGCCCGTTGACCAGACAGTACTAATCCCAGAACTAACCACCCCACGGATGGCTATTCTGCCATCAGCCAGTCAACTCTGGAAATTTCACATTCAACTGCATCTTCAGGCAGCCAAGATATTGTGAGAGACTTAGACATAATGGCTCTAACTAACACTCCTGCCTCCTCTGAGGTACCAAGACTCAGTGTGGATGTTTCTACCCCAGGTCATTTCTTGGAGACTACCACTCCCAATCCAGCTTTACAGTACATCACCACTAACTCTATGACCGTTGCCGCCAAGGGCCAAGAACTGGTAGTCTTCTTCAGTCTGCGAGTCGCTAACATGCCCTTCTCCAACAACCTGTTCAACAAGAGCTCTCTGGAGTACCAAGCTCTGGAGCAACAATTCATACAGCTGGTGAGTAAGCACTGCTTCCAATTCCCTGCGTGTCCTTTCTTTTTTTCTTGTTACTTTATAATATCATCACTGGCTGTCTTGAGCAATGAACGTTGGAAGAGACAAGCCTCTGACATAGCTGTTGCTGAAGGTATTCAGCTAAAGTGTGGGGATGGATTCAGATCCAATAAGCAAGTGAGTTCTGCGGTGGACACTCCAGGCAAACCCTGCCACCCAGCCCCATGAGATCTTATCCTTAAGATCTTTTCATTATAGTTATTCCTAATGTAGTTTTCCCAGGAATAATACATAGCCACCCAAGTACTGAATGTGGAATTTAAAAGCAGCATGAGCAACCTTTCCCTAAGTTATAATGCCACAGGCTGTTTTCTAGCCATCAGATAGAAGGATTCAAAACTCGAAGGGTCCAGAACAGATGAGGCTGAGAGTTCAAGTGTAAGGACTCCTTTCTTAGTTCCCCTTAAGTTCTTGTAAAACTAAAAAATAGCTAAATGGCATATCATCCCTCATCCCTAACAAAGAAAATGAGATGAAGATCATGATGGCATATATCTTTAATTATACAATACTCCTAAAACTCACATGTTTATTTTGTTTCTACATGTACAATAAGAAACACACATATAATAAGAAATGCTCAACCATGTGATACCTGTATGCAGTCACAGCCAATTAAAGTCAAGTACACAATACAAAAATCCTAGAATTTCTGAAAATAACAGAAAAAATATTTGTAAGCTTCATATAAATTAAATCATTATGCACATTAAAACCACATAAAAACCAAGGTCTTCAAGTGAACTTTAAAGGAAGACTTTGTGCAATGTCCCCCAACCCCAGTAAGGTGAGGTGAGTAGATACCGGGACAATCTCAGGGAACAGAGTCCCAGTGCACCTAGCTCAGGTGTATTAATTAGGGTACATGCTGAGCTTCCATATTGAAGAGATCAAAAATATAGTAACTTAAATATGGTGACAGATGGTAGCTACACTTTGGTGAGTGTAGCATAACAGATAGACTTGTTGAATCACTATGTTGTACACCTGAAACTGATACAACATTGTATGTCAACTATACTTCAAAAAAAAATATATATAGTAACTTAAATAAGATACAAGTTTATTTCTCTTCAACTTGATGGGTAGGGCAGTTCTGCTCTACAGTGTCATCCAGAGACTCACATTTCCTCTGTCTTATAACTCTGACAACCCCAATGGTGTCTGCTCATTCACACAAAGCTGAGTCACGGGTAAATCCCTGTTTCCATTTGTGAGAAGGGGCAAGAGAGGAAGCCCAGGGCAAGCAGTTTCATAAGAAAGTGAGTGATACCAAAGTTGCCCACATCTCTTCCACTCATATTATGTTGATGGGAACTAGCACATGGCCATATCTTGCTGCAAGGGAGGCTGAGAAATGTGGTTTCTAGCGAGGCAGCCTCTTTCCTGTGAAGAAGAAAATGGATTTGGGAGAAGGGAGCAGCTAATCATCTGCATACTAAAGACAGGGAATTCGCACCAGAGGCCAATGCAATGCTAAGATGCAAAAAATGAGCCCAGTCAATGTAAGTAGGAGAGTACTGAGAGTAGACTGAGAAGTTCCACACTTTGTATAAAATTTCATTTTATTTTTACAATAACCTGTGGGAGGGGGGAAGCTACTGGCATGTGGGCAAGATTAGAGTCAAAATTCTGGTGCGGTGGGGACAGGGACAAGAAAAAGTAGACCTGGGCTAAGCCTGGGAGATTGTAGCTTGCATCTGTGTACTCTCTGTGTTCGTAGGTTTCAGTTTATTAAAGAAGGGGTTAACTTTCAGCACCAAGAACAAGGCAGACACTGCTGAGTTTCAGACATTTCTGAAAAGGGATCTCAGGGGAGGTGGTGACTCACAATACGCAGGTGTAGGACTCTGAAGCACAATGCCCGTGGGCAGACTTTTGAGATTATTAAATTACAATTTGGAAAAGGTCCTTAGGGAACCACTTTTTCTTCTTCCTTACAATTCAGATAAGGGCACTGAGGTACAATACAATGGATAAATGGTTTGATGAAGGTCACACAGCTAGCTGGGGACAGTTCCAGAACTGACACCCAAGTCCCCTGACTGCCAGTTCCCTGCTGTTTCCATTGCGCAGCCTATGCATTGACCGTGAAACATGTCCTGCATAGACAGACAAGCTGATGTGTAAGCTTCACATCAATAGGTCACTTCAATAGGTCATTTCAATTGGTTGCTTCCAAATAGATGTCCCATTTATACAGGCGGAGGTCAGTCTGCTCCTGGGCTCAGTTTAGAACATGTTTTTATTTGTTTGAATTTTTTTTTTTTAAATAACTGAACCTGTCATTCCTGCTTTGCTGATAACATTGGCCTAGATTTTTAAAAAATCCTCTGTTCTACAATTCATCGTGAAGAAAATCACTGCCATCCATCTCAATAGACAAATAGAAAGGTGGAAATATGGGACATAATCAGTGCAAATAGATCATTAAATAGTCGTGTTCTGCTTTCACATTAAATCCAAACACAAAAATAAAGACAATCAAAAAGGAACTGAAATTTATGCCTCAGATAATGAGAAGTGAGTATAAATGGAATTAGCAGCAGCTGAGCACTTAGAACACAGTTAAGGGTAAACCACCTTTTATTTTGCAGCTGGTTCCCTATCTACGCTCCAATCTTACGGGATTTAAGCAACTTGAAATACTTAACTTCAGAAATGGGAGTGTGATCGTGAATAGCAAAATGAGGTTTGCTAAGTCGGTGCCCTATAACCTCACCAAGGCTGTGCAAGGGGTCTTGGAGGATTTTCGTTCTGCTGCAGCCCAGCGACTTGACCTGGAGATAGACAGCTACTCTCTTGACATTGAACCAGGTAAAAAATCCAACCCAGAAAATGGTGAGAGTTTTTTTGGTTTTGTTTGTTTGTTTAGCAAATGGTTCAACTTTGAGGCCACAAAAATCAAATTAAAATCCCACTTGTTAAATAAATAACATTTTGGAAGCTAATGGATCACCTTATTAGAAAGGTAGGGTCCTAAACCACGCAGGTTAAAGTTTTCCTCCATCAAAAAGCAGAGAACAAACACACCTCATGCTTCACAATCTGGGAGCTTTAATTTCACCCTCAGAACACAACTTTTGCTGTGCCTTAAGAGATTGTTTTTGTTGTTGTTATTTTTTAATGTTCCCCACAGCCAAGCTAATTTGCATTCTGCTAGAAGTCAGAAGCACTTTTTTAGCAAACTGCAGCAACCTGGAGGGTTTCTACCTAAGAAAACTTCCAGTCATAGTTAACTATCAGAATGGCCTCCTAATAACCAATTCAGGATGAAACGAAACAGTGTCCTGAGGAAAGAAAACTAACCATTAGACCAAAATCCAAACTTGGAAAAAAAGCCACTGCACCATCACCAAAGAAAGAAGAAAATAATGTCCCTTCCTATTTGTACACCCGACATCAGCTTCCGTGTGCAGGTTAAAACAGAGAAGTGTTAGAGGTGAAAACTTTTAAAGATAATGGGGGTTAGTCCAAAGCTACATAATAGAAAGCAAATATCGTTCTGATAATAAAACACTGTGTGTGCCATTCTAACCAGCTACGCCCAGACTAGGAACCGCTGCAGCCATTACTTTCAAAATTCTGTTTGCTAACCAATAAATTCCCCAGGGTGCCGAGGGACAAGGCTCCAAATCTACTGCCCAGGAGACCTTCTAGTCGGGTTCAAAACAAAGCTTCCTAATTGGCTATGAATTAGTGAAGTGAATCTTTAACATCCTCTCTGGCTTTCTGTGGACTAACAATGAAGGCAGAGGGAAAAGGCCTTGGGCAAAATGCAAACAAAGAGGCTCAGTTGGGAAACACTTATTTTTGACAGAGCAGAACTTTGAGCAACTTTAAGAAAAATTGCCTCCTATTTCAGTAAACAGGCTCATTAAAAAGACAGATCACCCTTAGGCACTAAGTCCGGGAGTGCTTACCTCTGAACAGGGGCAGCTAAGAAAGCCCTGAGGACCCCGTAAAAAAAATCAAAGACCTCCTAAATGCTAGTAATAGACTGCCTCTTCCCCTGAAAACCACCTCAGAACTGAGAAGGAACCAGAGGGTGCCTGCCAGTTAGGATCAGGAGACCAATTTCTTCAGTCAACTGAAAGCAATGAACAGGGACGGCTACAGAACTTGGAAAGCATAACAGAGGTGAGGGTCCAATCTCCTCCCTTCCTTCCTCCTTTGGAGAGCTGACAGGCGACTTAGAGACCCATCCAACAACATGAGAAGGTCAGCACCAGGAGCCAGGTTGAGACAGGGGAGAACACCGGTGTGCTGACATGAAGACGGGCTTCTCAATGGAGGTACCACTTAAGCAGTGCCTTAGAAACTGACAGCCGGAAGCTGGTGTCCCATTGCCAGAGATGCAGAGGGGACCCTGGTGATGCCGGAAGGAAACGCAGCATAGCAATGACTTTGGGGGGCCATAGTCTTGAATGTGAATCCCATGCGCTAACAGCAGCACTCAATTTCCACAACTGGAAAATGGTGATAGTAAACAGTTGTGAGGATTAACTGAAAGAATGTTTGCAACACCCAGCACACCGTTGGACACATCGTAGTCGACTAAGGAATACTGGTAGTTAATATTGTAACGTTGTCGTTATTAACTTGATTAGTAATTTGTGATCTGCATAGGGTACCCTTGAGAACAATAAAAAGTACCCTGACAGGGTATTTGTGTGGAGGCTGGAACGGAAATTATGCTTATTTCCTGGGACTGGTTTGACTATGTAGCTTTTCCTCTAAGAAGCCAAAAGCAACCAAAACGAAATGCTGTGAACTTTGGTTTCACTCCCTGCTGGAGCCAAATTTATACGGAGCTATCCCAGAAACGCCTCCAGACTGCCTCGTGTACTGTGGGGTACATGGGCAATTTATTCTTTTAATGGTAGAACAACAGGGGAGGCCAGAGCACATGGGACAGCCGGGGACATTACCTTACGCTATTTCTTACTAGATACTGAATTTCTGATACATTGAAAACTCACAGAATAATGGATGGATGGTTGGATGGATGGATGGATGGATGGATGGATGAGGTCTGCCAAGAGATGGCTGTAGTGAGCCAGCTAGGACGTAAGTAAAGCCTGAACCAAAGAATTTAAGGACAGCAGAATTAGAAAGCAAATAAGGATTTTATAAAAGTTAAAAATATATAACAATGTAACTTTACAGATTACTCTATATATATCAAAATAGATAAATCCAATACCTAAAAGGGTTCCTATTTACTGGGAAAGGCACTGTGCCAACCTGCCCCCAAAAGCATTCCTTCCAATCAACAGGGGGTGGGGAAGGAAGAAGGTACAAACAGGCAGGGAGTAGAGGTGAGCTCCTTACTGCCCCCCTAGAGATCCTGGTTTAGTTATTTCCCCAAAGGCAAAGGGTAGACTTGCCCAAGTAACCAGCAAGTGGTTGATTATCAGACCTTGACCATCTTCTACATGCTTAATCCAAAACAATAGACATTCATCCACCATCATATAACACATGAATACATGGAAGTCACTCCCTACCCAAAAGAACTTGCAGGATGGCCAAAGGCAGATCAGAACGATCAGACCTCTGCCTGTTTCATTCAAAAAGACTGTGTAATGAGCACTTTCTGATGTGCCACATTTAGCTGCAAATTTCTGAGTTTGGGAATCACTGAGGCATAATGAAGAAAGCACTGAATTTTCCTTTAAATCCCATTTCATTGAGACCTAGTGTCTGAAGGCAAGAGAGAATTCAGGGCTAGAGATTAATATAGAGAATTCTAGCCCCTCTGGGCTGGTCTCCCGCAGTGGTGGTTGGTGGTGGCGAGGGCTGAGCAGCCAACAAGATGGCCAGTACCAAAAAAAAAAAAAAAAAATTCAGTGACACTTGGCACAATGGCAAGGAAGACCTTATTCAAGGAGGGCCATCTCCATGGATGTAGGGACCACTGCAGTGGAGTCTTGACGTAGGGGAGAGTGGACTTAGCTCCAAGTACAGCATGGGCAAGTGGAAATTTATAGCGAAAGAGCAGGATGGAGGGCAGTGGACAGAACTTACTAAGAAGAAATTCTTCTTGCTAAAATTGGACAAAGAAGAGGGGAACACTGAAGCTCAAAAGTGGAGGCCAAATTGAGAATTTCAGGGGAGCCTGAGTAGAGCTTTGTCCTGGAGAAACTTCATCCGCACCAGAGCTGGAGCGACAGGATGCCAGGCACACACATGTTGGTGGCAGCAGGGCGAGCTGCCGTTGGGAGGGTGGTGGCGGCGGAGGACGGAGAGGCGGCCACCCAAGAGCGAGCAGCAGTCAGGCACCCACCCTGACGACAGACCTGCACACTCCCACTTCATCCTCACACTATCCACCACTCCTCCTCCCTGTTCACATCCTGTTCCAGTCCAGGCAGGGACGGCCCCAACCCTAAAACACTCACCACCATTGCTTCTCAACAGAGGTAATGAACTTCTTATATCTATTAATCTGCTTATCTTATAAAACTTCTTGAACCTGAATTTTAATATACTATTCAAAAAACAAACAAAACAACCAAAAATCTATAGATACAATAAAGTGTTTCTAGCCTGAGTTCTCCTGTATAATTTTAGTTTGGGGGAACATGCACAATATTAGTATTGTGATCATAGAAAAAAGTGGGTGTCCAGATTTTAAGATAAATTGAGAGAACAAATGCAGATGATTTTCAGTAGTATTCTTCCTTTTTTTTTCCCTTTAATCTAGAATATGACAGCTATTTTGCTCCTAGGTTTTCAATGTGACTTGACTGATCCAGATTTTCTCTTTTTGGTAGTAAATTGGAGGTAAGCTGTCATGGTGATTGACAGGCAAGCTGATTAAAATGTCCTCCTAGTACAACCAACCAGTGCAACCAGTGATCATGTTGCCTCTCAGGTCCCTGGACCCCAAATGAAGATAATTACTTCAGGTTCCTTGGACTCGAATTCCAGTTTACACAGCCCCTGGCTCAATTGCTGGCATAGCCTTTTCTAGTGTCTAAGGCTTGGGCTGATGTACAGCAATGCCCAGCCCCCAGCATGTAGTAAAAGAGGTCTGAGGGGCACTTAGAATCAAAATTCCAGAAAATTCCAGAAGGTCATCTAGCAAATACAAGAAACCTCCCTGATTCATGTTGGATCTTGCCAGTGTTTGCTTGAACTCATTGGTACTGGTCCAACCTGTTGAGAAAACTCTCCCTGAAAGAGAATTAAAACGGGAAAACTTTAGAGAGAAAAGGGGCGGCTGCAGGAAGTACCATGTGCCGGGAATAAATACCCAGCTTTGTCTCTGGGAGAGAATCCCAAGAATCTATGCTTGGAAAACAGAGAGGGCATCCTATAATTTTAACCTTTTCCCAACCAGAATGGCCAAATACAGCAACACTTACTGTGTGTCTCACCCCTTGCCCTTCCTTACGACCTTCTTGGGAGAAACAGGAGATCAGAAGCAGACTGCACAACAGTGGAGGTTCTCCCACCTCATATCCAGTGTTGCCCAGGCCTGGGATCCACCAGCCCTACCCATCCCTTCCTCGCCCAACCTCCTCCAACCCTTATCAAAGAATAATCCTTAAAATGTGAAAAACAATAATTTTCATACAAATAGGTAGTGAGCGTATATCAAAGTTTTATTTCACTCGTTAATAAGGGAATCACTAGGATGGCAAATCTGGTCTAAAGAGGCTCTGAAAATGGGAATTCTGTATAATCAGAGAACAAAGCAGAATGACGAAATAAGGATGTCATGCTAAATAGGAAACAGGAAGTACCATCATTTTGTTTTATCCATTTTCTATACAATACCTTCTAACTCTCAGGAGTTGTAAAACACC